GAATGGATTCTAATATAATAAAGGATTTAAAGCCTTTTTAACTATCGTCACGTATGTTTTAAGTCAATATTCATTGATTAAAAAGATAGATTTTTGTGAAAAAGACCTTTAAAGGCTTCTTTTTAAAGAAAATTCTCGAAATAATCTAACATTTGGTTCAAATAAATGAATTCTAATAGAATAAGACAATCCTATATCTTTTCATAATCATTGCCTTTGTTTTAGGTGAATATATATTGGGAGAAATTGTTTCTGTAAAAGAAGGCCTTTAAAAACCTTTTTCGGAAATCTTGAAATAATGTGCTATTCAATCCATATGATTGGAGGATGTGAATGTGTGGATATATTTATTTTTATTCACACCCACATCTGACTAAATGGTAACTTTTATTTCCAATATAAAACTACTATTTGTTTTTATTTATTGAGATTCACCAAATGAAAGTCTAGATGATAAGTTTTATATCATAAAAAGATCTACTTTTTTATTTACATAGATATCTGAAATGAACGACACAGTAGTAAGTTTGATAGGACTTGTAAATGAACTACAGTGCTTGGTTTCATCTGAGATTTCTCGAATGGAATATGGAAGATGCGCGATCATTGTAACTGAATGTGTCAATCTCTATGGTTCTGTGCATGTGTGCGTAAACGTGGTACACGATGCATTATTACATAAAGACGTAAGACGAATGGCTGTGTTGCAACTCTTGCTGAAATTAAAACGCTATGCATTAGACTCTCTAGATGCGACTATATAATAAAATACTGTTCGGGAGACGCAACCTACTATACAATTGCCAGTCTTTGATTCTTTCAATTCTATTTCTCTATTTACACTTGGAAAACATTAGTGTATTACCCATAGCAGCCCATATATTTGTGTAGCGCATTGTTACAATTGGCTGCACTAAAAACACGAACCAGACTTCCGTAGAATGACTACTGCTATATTGTACCACTTCTGAGGTATCGCTGGCATAATTAAGCACAACGATGTATGACCACTGTTCCGACACAAAACGCGAACACACCTTTATTTAAGCGTCACTGCGTGGTGGCTCATCTAATGCCCATAAGCCACATTTCTCTGAAAACATGTATGATTTGAGACGTCTCTACTCTGTCAGAGAGCCCACACACATCTTTACTCAATTCACAGCGTGTGATGGACCTCCAAGGGCCACCCGAAGAGTGCCGAGAAGCCACGTCTATGTGACAACAGGTTTGACTTCTAGGGTTTTCCCACTACGAGAGGGCGTACACACACCTTTATCTAAGTCCCGGCGCGTGGTGGCCCGATGGGCCACGCGAAGAGCGCCGACGAGCCACGTCTATGTGAGAACAGATTCGACTTCTACACTCTTCACAGTACCAGAGGGTGTACAAACACCTTTATCTAAGTATCGGCAGGTGGTGACCCGAAGGACCATCCAAAGAGCGCCGATAAGCCATGTATATGTGAAAACAGATTCGACTTCTACACTCTTCTCATTACCAGAGGGCGTGCATACACCTTTATTTAAGGTTCGCCGCGTGGTGGCCCGAAGAACCACCGGAAGACACATATGTAAAACTTGAAACTTGAATTCAATTGACGTTTCAAGTTTCAAGTTTTACATGTATGTGCCCGCGAAGGCACTGATCGAGAAATGAATGGCCACAATACGACATACATCACATCTCACCTCGTGTGGGTGCCGCGAAGGTACTGGTCACGTACGGAGTGACCACAATACGACACACATCACATCACACCTGGTGTGGGTACCGCGCAAGGAGTGGCTACAATACGACTCGCATCACATCGCATCTCGTGTGGGTGCCGCCAAAGGAGTGGTCACAATACGACACACATCACATCACATCACACCTGGTGTGGGTGCCGCGAAATGACCGCTCGCGAAAGAACTGGTCGGGAAAGGGTTGAAATTTGAAACTTGAAAACTCACTCGATACTTGAAAATTCAATTGAATTCAAGTTTCAAGTTTGACACTATTCCCGAAGAGCGCCGATAAGCCACATGTATGTGAAAACAAGTTTCACTTCTACACTGATCCTACTGCCGGATGGCATGCACACACCTTTATCCAAGTTTCGGCGCGTTCTGGCTCAAAGAGCCACATCTATCACATATGGAACGAGATAAATACTTTCTATTCGTTACAAATATCCCTTTTCTTCTCTTTGTGCTTATTGTGTTCGGCGTAAAATTTTCTATTTTTCTAACAATATCATTTTATATATCTACGAGAAACATTTATCCTTCAAAACTTCGATATGAAATACAACAAAACAAAGCATTTGATGAAGGAAATCTCCATTTCTTTTCATCGAACTGAAACAATAAGGTATTATTCTGTTGTAAAACCATCGATATTGTTTTCAAGGTTATTGCTCATAAGTACACGACTTTCCGTGTAAGAATATCGAAAAACTGTAGGACCTAATACAAGCAACGCCCCGAAAAGTTTGGATGATGTAGAATTTGCAACCCACAGGAGCTTCGAAAGTTCCGAGGTGTACTATATTCCTAGAGCGCCATAATTATATACCTATCATACCACCTACATCCTCACACTCCTTTAGCAGTATAAAAATATACCTATATACCGCTTCTACTGCTATAGCGGCATAAAAACGCACCCTAATACCGGTATACCGCTATAGTGGTATAAAAATATATCCTTATACCGATTTTACTGCTATACCACTATAGGGGTATAAAAATATATCATTATACCGCTATAGTGGTATAAGACCATGCTACTGCTAGTTTTTATATTGATTACCATTGGTTCGTTTCGGATTTTGCCGCAAATTCAAATTTCCCACCGACTCAAGTTTTGAGTCGAAGTTTTCTAGTTTCCCATCTCCACTCTCCATTAGAGACCTTAGCAACCGAAGTTCAAGGTCATTGCGTATGATTTTTTTTGTATGAAATATGTGAGTTCCACATTTCAGCCCCAATGAGATTGCAATAACAAGCTTTTCTTTCCCTGAAAAATCTCTTCTTATTTTTATCTTCGTCATAAGATTTCGAATAACAGAAATATCAAATAACTCTATTATCCCATATCTCCATTGTAACTTGAGAATTCTCTTGATAATCCTAACCACAGAGATATTTTTTCGGTAGAATACGATTCTTTCAAGACCTTTCGGCTCGAATTTTGTCGACATAAGAAAAATAGTCATTATGCACTTAAAATTATTCACTCTGGATACATTATCCTGAACATATTTATTGCCAAAAACTCAGTTGAAGATAATTCTTTCCATGAAAATTTTCTAAAGTACTTGTTTTCTGTACAGCATTGTATCTAATTTTCAGCAAGGTCAAACCTTTTTGAATGGTAGAAGAATACAATATCAAAGAGTTTTTTTCTACGGTGAAACTCACAAAACCTATTGATAATTTTTGCTTCAGATGCTCGATGAGAAGAGTGACGGTTACAATAATTAATATCTGCTATTCATTTCATACAGAACTTTTCAGGATTTTTGTCGATTGGAAAATAACTACTATGATACGAAAATAATACTACACAAGCTTAGTCATACTACTGAAGGATTGGGAAATCCACTGGATACTGATTATGAAAAAAGTCTTCTAAAGAGAATGCAATTTTGAAAGACTTACGTTTTCTCACTGTAGTTTTGTGCAATCGTTTATTTTGACGAGCAAAATAATAGTATAATGAATCGAAGTTATTCTATGCAAAAAAGAAAAAATAAAAGCATTATGTTGCTTGTACAGACATTGAAAAAATAAGCTTGGCTTGTGTGCATTCATCCATATACGTAAAATAACACATGGTCATATATTATTTATATATCGTTTCTTCATAGGCATATTATCATTGTTTTACTTATTCACTCATTCACCGTTCGAACAGCTTCATTGACGGAGAGAGAAAGTGAATCCAAGGTTGGAGAAAAACGTGCACTATAGGACAGCTTAATTTGTTTCTTCTGTCATTGTTGTACAAGATAGATAAAATATTAATACTTCACAAGCAATAGTATTCTGCTCAATACCGTTGATCTTGGTAGAATCAAGCTTCAAACGTTCCTTCTACATATAAGTGGAGACAATCGTTTTTGATACTACTTATGCAAAAAAAAATTTAACAAGAAAATCAACATATACATGATTTTCATCGATTTAAAGCGCAGATCATTGATGAAAATCCAGAAATTATACTTTTTTTAGATTAAATGGAAGATTATAATCGATTATTTCTTGTGATAGACCGTAAGACGTAAGAAGCGATATATCTTCATTTTCGTTTCGTTGGAAGTCATGGCAAAACAGAAAGAAAAAATAATCGTGATAAGTATGTATATAGATGTAAACGAAACAACAGAACGAAAGTAAAATCTTATAATTAAAGTCACAATAAGTGTAAGACGTTTCTTACGTGTTACGATGCATTGTGAGTATAAAAGCAAAATGAAATAAACGATTATATAATATAGATTGAGATATAATATGTTTCGAACCTATGGAATAACCAAAAATGATAGTAATTAACTATTTGGTGTGAATATCTTGAGGATACAACTATATTTTTAATTTCATAAATTTATTTTACCACAAATTCAAATAGTACAAGAATAATAAATAATAACAAAAAATATGAATATTCAGATAAATATTATATCAGACAATAAACAAATCGTTTTTAACTGTTTTTATTCAAGAACAATAAAATATTAGCATTGTCATGGATGTCAATCTTGAGCATCTATCTGAAGTTAAATGACCTGTTGCTGAAAACATTCTCTCTGATGACACACACTTGTTCGAGATATATACAAATATTTAAAAGTTAATTGTGATAATATGAGATGTTTTATTTTACTAGCATGCCATCATTCAAGAGGATTTGCATTTCGGTATATTTCTCGTTCATTTTCATACATCAACAACTCAGACTTTCGATTATTAGATGATGGAATGTTTCGATTTGTTATCATTATATCAAATAAATCAAATTCTTTTTCTTTTTCTTCGTGTTGTTGAATATTGAAAGAATGAAGTAACTAAATTGTTTTCAAGCAAACTATTATATTGTTCTTGTAAATATAAATATGCAAGTTGTTTTGCTTCAAATGCCTGCAATTTATTTAATAATGATAATCTTTCAACATAATTCTTATAAGATGAACGTTGAAAATTTTTCCAATGTGGATAAAATACTGTACATAATAGTACCTAAAAAAAAACTTTATCATATAATATTTAGCTGTTTATTTCTCTACATTCTAATTTATTATTGTATGTTATTTTGAACTGTTCCTCAATACTACCATGAAATGTATCTTTTATTTTCTTTAAAAGAGAAGAATCAGTAGATCGATCTTCGAGACTTGTAATTAAAATTGTAAGAACAGATAAAATAATTGATAATATTGGTGAAGAATCAGATGATAGTTTTCGTGTAGCTACTTCAAAATGTTCTAATATAACCTAAAATTCAACAAAAAATTTACATAGTTTACATTTCAATAGCATCTTACCATTAATTGTTCTAAAACATCTCACTCTATTACTTTCAAAAATTTAGCATTGATCAGATGTTTTTGAAACAGGTTTTCATTTAAACATGTTGTCAAACAAATTTGTTTCTTGAATAAACCTTTGGAGCATATAGAAAGTACTTTTCTACCAAGTTATAACATTAATAATCAATTGACATTTAATATAACCTACAATGATTCAATTTCGTAACTGTTAAAAAACAAAATAAAATCTCAGTTTCTTTTTTAACCAAACGATCCTTGCTATTTATTTAATATTTCATTTGCTAAATGATCATCTCTAGTACATAAGACGATGTATCAAATTATCGAAAATATATTTTTCATTTCATCTTGCCTTTCGAACAATATCATTAGTAGATAAATTAATAAGATGATCGACGCAACCAATCCATTCTATATATAAATCAATAACTATTACAAGTCTAAAATTATAAATAAAATCAAATTATTTCCAAATTCAATTTCTACTTTTCTCATAGTAGGATAAGTATCAAATAATAAACAAATGATTTTCTCACCGATTGACCATGTACTACAAGTATTTTCTAATTGTTCTACAATACATTCAATTGTATGATTTCCTATAAGTTCTCTTCTTACTAATACAACATTTTTTATTTTATTATTCTTCAAATCAATAAAATGTGCTGTAATTGTCATATAAGCTTAATTAGCTAGAGAAGTCCAAATATCTGTTGTTAAACAGATATCTAAAACATTAGAAAAAGACAATCTGTAAGTTATCTTAAATATAGAATGTATTACTGAGTGCTTGTTGTAATTCTTCGTAAACTTTCCGTTGAACCTCATTGTACATTTCCTGAAAAACTTTATTAGTAAAATATTTTCATTTTGAAATAACATAAGATGGTTCAGCTTCTTCAAGAATTACTTGTAGATGAGGACTTTTAACTATTGATAAAGGAAGAAAGTTGTAAATGATTAGATTAGCAACTAATTTAGTTATGTGAATAGATCGATCACTTGTTCATGATAATCTTGATATTGAATCAATTGTTCATGCTTGTGAGTTCATGACTTTATTTAAATACTGATATAGGAAATTGTATTGTGTTTGTATATGTACCTAGAAGTAAAGAAGAAAGTCTTTTTAGATTATGATCGGAAAACTATTTATAAGCTTTCTAGAGTTTTAAAAAATACATTGGTTGATTAACTTGAATGGTTCTTTATGTTAGTGATACAGTTGATGATGTAAAGTATGGAATCCGATCATTTCTTGTCTCATATTAAAAGAGTTATCCTATAAAATTTTTGTCATGTTTATAGATAAGACTTTAAATTTTTTCTACTCAACATGTCATTATGTTGAAAAGTGGCGTGAGAACAGATGAATCATCGGCGTAGAATGTTATAATTCATTTAGTTTTTACTTTTTGAGACGAAAATCGAAGATAAGCATGATCAGAATGTAATTTTTATCTTAAACTAATGTCCATTTCAGAGTTAAATGGATGTAGGCATTTTTTAAATAACTTTAAAACAAAAAGAGAGAAATGACTTGGGTCTTTAATATCATCTAAAGTTGACATTACTGCATCTTTTAATAAAGTCCACGAAAAAATCTAGTTGCTTTTCTTCTGAGATAAAGCATCGGTTTTAAATATCTTCTTATATAAATTTTTAGCCATCCTCCACTTCATTACATGATTCATTAATCTTTGGAGTTTGTTTTCCCATTAAGAACGTCACATCAGAATCCATACATTCAGTTTATTTTATGATAAGGAATTGATATTTCAGGAGATTCTTTCCAATCTTTATCTTATTAATGCTTTTTTTCCAGAAAGATTGGAAAGTTGAATCAATCGATCAAAAAGAAATTCGAAGATATTAACGTAAATTCATCATAGAAAGTCATCAATCATCAGTATCATCTGTACTATAAGTACCATTATTACCATCATTATGATCATCAAGTTCTTCTCAATCTATTCGACATAAATGTTTGTTCTTTTAAATGTTATCTCATATTGTTTGACATAATTGATGTAACTAATTACTTCCATCGTATTCAAACCATATACACTCGACATTATACTATTTAATCTACAGTAACATTTTAAAAATCAGGTTATAACGGGTGGATCGAAAGTTTTCGCACAAAATGTTTGTTCATTTTTGGCCTGTTTGAAAGTATTTCAGATGAGTCAAAAACTATGGGTTAAGACCAGAATTTTGTGCTCTTTCCGAATATATGCTCATAAATTTTGTGTCTGTTTTTGCTCGAGAGTAATGAGGAAATCTTGGAAAGGCCTAAAAAATTGGTTTGGACGGCGAACAAACAGGTTTTTGCTAACCCTCATAAGTCTCTTTGCGAAGGTGCTAAAAATTGTCAGAGTCGGTAATTTTGTAGAGTGGACACTTCTTTACAAAATGTGATATCAAACTAAGCCGTAGCTTATACCCAAGTGAAGCTATTAGCATTTTCTCGGGAGCTACTTTCGATGTAAAACGCCCTTTCGTCAAAAAATCGATTCTTCAAAAATGAGGGTGATAGGAAAACGAAAATTTAGATGCCTTATCTGAAGACAAAAAGAAACTCAAATAGTCCATTTTGTAGAGCAGATTTTGCTCTACAAGCTGATATATCAACAAAATTTCCAACTTTTGGTTTCGGAGCCCAATACTGAAAATACGAAAATGTACGGAAAAATTTTTCGTCCAAACTAATTTTTTAGGCCTTTCCAAGATTTCCTTATTACTCTCAAGCAAAAACAGACACAAAATTTATGAGCACATATTCGGAGAGAGCACAAAATTCTGGTCTTAACCCATAGTTTTTGACTCATCTGAAATACTTTCAAGCAGGCCAAAAATGAACAAACATTTTGTGCGAAAACTTTCGATCCACCCGTTAGATGGATATGTTTTGATAATCCGCTCCTATCATGGAATTTCACCAAGATTCTCTAAAATTGTGTTTTCTGCATTCGCTTTTCGTTGCTCTAAGTTGCTCTCTCGTTGTCTATTTAAGATATATATGTAGATTTTGTAGTATTGATTCATAGCAAGACAAAATTCAATACACACACATATTAAGATAATACAAACCGATTCAAAAATAACTTGACTCAAAAGAAAACAATGGTTTCATTCATGTACAGTGAGTTGCAATACTTGTACAACAGAATTATATTTACGAGAGGAAGGTCTCCAAGTGATTCATCGCTTTTAAGTCGAGACTAAATGCATTATATAGGTCATAATGGGTTATAAATATCCTGGAAAGAGTTCGGGCCCATAGGTTATTGCTGCTGAGATACTGCATTTTTACAGTGTTTTCTAAGCACAGTGTCATGGTCACCTTGAGGAACATCAGAAAAGCTGAGTCTGGAATTTCGACTTGAAATTTAGGGATAGATCATTTAATTTAATTTAAAATTAAGTTTAAAGTTATCACTTAACATTTAATATTAAAATTAAATTTTTCTATTTATCATCTTACTGAATTTTTGGACCAATTCTGAGGTGTTTACAGAAGAAACCAAAAAACAGAATTTTGATGTGAAATTGAGCCCATAGATAGGACTAATGATTCCTAGAGTAGCCTGAAAGTTTCAGCGAAAAAGAATATTCTTCTATCGAGATATTGAATTTTCCAAAAAGCGGTCGTTTGTGACAGATTTCCTACAAAGATCGAGTATACTTGAAAATTTAATATCTCGACGGAAGAACATTCTTTTCGGCTGAAACTTTCAGAATATTCTCAGAGTCATCAGACAATTTCATTACTTGATATTTCGATAAGTATCTAAAGCTGAATCGAAAAGCTCCAGAGATCCATGAACATGAAGCTTTATAAGCTTTTCCTAATCTTATCCAAAACTTGCTTGTGAACTCAAACTTCGGGTTCCACTTTTGGTAGTTCCCTCGTTAGAGAATTCTGTTTTTGTCTATTAAAGGGCATTTTGGAAAAGTTCAATCAGGTTTGATATGAACACCACCATTACTTGTTCGATCACGAATATTTTCTGAGACCGCCATCATTGTCTTGCAAAATATTTCTTGGTGGTATTTCACATGATCTTAATCCTCATAAGTGTGCTCTTTTATATTAAAGATTTTTTTTTTTGTATTAAAATTTAAATGAAAGATTTACAAGAATGTTTAGGAAGTTTTGGATAAATTCGACTAGAATGGCTCAATATGGATAATATGTCCATACATAGACATTCATCAAATAGTATGAGAAATTTTTATTATGAATAAATTTTTAAATTGAAAGTTTCTTTTAAATTAGTTACGACTGTTATTGCTTATGCTATTTATGAAAATGAAGAATTCATTCATCATATTTTACATATATGTTCAACAAAAACTGATCGATCATTAGATGATGGTCGATGTGAATATTATCTTGATGTTGATAGTCAACAAACAACTTCACAAAGAAAAAGCATAGAAAAATATTTTCTTTTTCTAAATTCGAATTATTCCGTGGTTTGTAGTAAGTATTCTCTATGAGAATTAAATTTAAAGAATATCTTTTTTATCATTTAGGGAGATTCACAATGATTATCTGAAAGTGATAGCTATGAAAGTTGGGAACAACGATTTGGTTCTACTGAACATATCAGTCGAACAGTATTTGTGGGTGCTTTACATGGCATGATGACTGCTTGTGCGTTGGCTCGAATATGTCAACAATTATTCGGATATGTAGAATATGCAGCTATTAATACTGATAGAAATAAATATCCTATTAGTAAATATATTTTGTATAGTCTGAAGTAGTATTTATCTACTGAATACATTTTGGAAACCAAAAATTGCCTTTATATATTATCAAATTTATGCAATGAAAATAGGGAAAACTATACATTGTTTCGCGTTTTTTCCAAGCCAACCTTTTCATGAAAAACAAAGTGCAAAAGCATCCGCATTTCTCTAATCTCCTATGTCTGATCGAACTGGAGATATCGCTATACATCGTCGACTTGTTCTCGAATCAACTTGTTTCGATGACTGTCAAAAAAAAATAGAAGAATTGATAGGCAAACTACGAGAAAATGCTTACTCATCACGTATTTTATTCATTTTCAGCAGCTGAAAGACAGCATTCAATTCTTCTCGTGCTTTCTGTCGAGTGAACGGCCACTCTTCAGATGATGGAGGATTAGCGATATCTTCAGATACATCGCTTGCACTGCTTGTACTCATTCGATCTTCATTATCAACGTTCATCTCTTGGGAATCGAATGACTCATTTGACAAAACTGACAGAAAATTGAAACACTGTTTGTACAGTTGGTCACCAGCTACAAGCATTTTTGACGACCAGACTGTGTTAGAAGATATATGTTCGTTGATCAAATCGGCTTGGACCGCATTAATAGTCTTTCTACCGTTAGGATGCGATGGATTATATCCTGATTGAGTATCTTTAGTATGCACAGGATGGGCTCACAAGATCTTCTTTTTGTACGGCATGTTTCTGACTTTTTGAGACTAATTGATATAGTGTACAGAATGAGTTTTGAAAATAGTAGCTGAAAGGTCCACTCTATTTTGATGCGTATATGTTTATTCATAAATTCAAAATGTCTCGGACAAACAGTAAACTGAGCTTCATTACTCTCTGCAGACAGATAACAGTATGTATTTATGTAATGTGCTAAATGGAAGATACAATGGAACATACCATACGGTTTTCACATTATCTTGGAGCACATGAAATATACATACCAAAAAGAATGGAAGAAACTAAGAGAGAAACAACCAGAAAAAAACCTGGCAAAAGGAAAGAAACATATATGTAAGGAAAAAAAGAGAATGAATCTACATAGTTAATACCACTAGTCATGCGTCTTATATGCCATATCATACAAACGTGTCATAACCATAAGCGTAAGATAAATCATATATCCATATAATCAGTCACTGTTTAACGGATCAAAGTTATAGTCGGTTCTCTACTGTAGAATTCTTTTAGATAAATTCAAATCATACATCGTTGACTCGACAAAATAACATGTTAGAAAAACTTTTCATCGAAATCATTGTTCAGATACTCTCAACTGGGTCACAATAGACTTAGAAATCTTCTTCGAGTTCATCACTCGACTTCCATTGCTCAAATGCCACCGTACTACAATTTTCATCTCAAACAAATGGAATTTCAAAGCAATATGCATAAATCATCTTCCTTTTCCGGAATAATCATAGTCCTTAGTGTTTTGTTGAATTTTACGCACAATTTTTTCGGCGTGTTTCAATTACCATGTATAGGGTTTTGTAGAGCAGACTTCGCTCTACAGAATTCACTAAGTCCCATTGGGCAGGAATATAGCCATTATGAGTTATTGTGATCGACTTTTTGAACATGGATAACCATAGATAGCCAGTCATATAAATGCAAGGATTTCAGAAAGTGTTTTGATGTATCAGATCTTGTAGAGCTTTCTTTGCTGATCATTTTAATATAAAATGTTGCCCTACTCCATTGATAAATAACGACGGTAGAGTCAGAATACTGAAAAAACAAGTCACCGATGCGACTTTTTCCACTTTTCAGTATTTTGACCCTAGCGCCGTTATTTTTTGATGAAAAGAGAATTTTTTTATCAAAATGATCAGCGGAAAAAGCTTTACAAACTCTGATACCTTAAAACATTTTCTGAGATCTTTGTGTTTTTTATGGTATACGCCTCATGGAAATGCCCTGAAATTAAATTTGAAACAACAGGAATTCCAGCCGCGAAGAGATTCGATATGATTTCTCAACTGTTGGAGAAAGGTGCACTTGATTGGTTTCAAGATAATAAAGTGAAATTTAATAACTCGTGGTCTGAGTTTGTCATCCACTTCGAAAAAAACATTTGATTCTCCAAATCGTATTCGTACAGCAATGCAAAAGCTCAATTTTTGCGCTCAATCATTGCAACGAGATGGTCGAAGTTTTTGTAATGAGATGCGAAAATTATTTCAAGAAGCTGATCCACAAATGAATTCAACGATGAAATAAGAATTATTGTCGGTCAAAGTAAATCCTAGTTATCGTCTTGATCTATTGAAACAAAAGACAAAGGATCCTGAAGAATTCGAGATAATGGCTAAGGATCTTGAAAATACCTATCTAGCATTTGATGCCATGCAACAGAATACACAATCTATTACACTGTTTCCTTCTGAAGTTTCTCCTTTTTCGTTTGACACTCCTCCTTACTCATCGTCGAATCGCCATCAGTTCACACCGTATGATAATCATAACGATAACAACTATCGAAACACCAACGCATCACGTTATAATTTACGTTTTCCCACCAACACTAATTATTCACCTCGATATTCGTCATCGAATTCATATCAGCAAGAACAAACGTAATCATCTCGACAATCTCCTATCCTTGTCTGTCAATGTTGTTCTAAGTCAGGACACTCAGCTCGCGATTGTTCTTTTTAAAGTTGGAGTCAGTGTCGGGTGATGCTGTCTTCAATACTTCATTTTTTAAATTATCCAAACCTTTTCTTCTGTATACCACATTTACAATTAATAACACACCACTTAATACTTTCATTGATCCCGAAGCTTCTGCCACATGTATCAGTATCAAAGCTCTTCAACGTGCGTCTGACTTCCGCTACGTTGATGAAACATCGCGTTCATTTGTGGTCGCCGATGGTGTCATGCCTCTACAAGCTAAATGTTTAGTAAAACTTTCTATGGAATTTGTCTAAGAACTGATTACCTTTTATGCTCTCATCGTTGAAACTCTTTGCGTTGACCTAGGGTGTGAGTGGGTGTGGGTGTGAATCACATTCCGCAATTAATCCGCACCCACACCCACACTTTCGTGACTTGGCTGAGGCTTTGATAAGTTTTACCGACAAGAGCATCCATTTATACATGCTTGAATGTAGTCCTAGCAAGTAATGACGCCCAATTTTGTGATAGTTTCTCGAATACCTGAAAACTAACTTGAACCCGACCTGAATGTGATATACTCTTCAAACATTTTTGTACGTTGTAGCTGTGTTCTAATGATCTTTACTAACTGTTTGATGAAGACAATTTAGGGGAATGGATTTGGGTGTTGATCCATTTTACCCATACTCGCACCTGCACCCACAGCCGCACTGCTGGTCCCAAAGCTCCTCTCAGAGTTAGCAAGTGAATTATCATATTCAAGAACAGATATTTCATCGGAAAATATAAACATCGATTTCTTAAAATTAGCGTAATTGTGATAGCGATCGAGAGCGTTTTGAAAAGATTGTTACTGAAATATCAAAAGAATTACAAAATGCTCATAGTTTTTGTACGTCAACGGTTGCCGTATGGCCAAGTAGATTTAACTTGTTTACGTGATCGTACACTTGATCAGCCAGTTGGGCTTCACTGTAGATATCCAAATGAAAAGCATGATACATATCATCAACCAGTTGGCTTCAATGGTGCATATTTCTATGAAGTAAAGACGCTCAGTTACGATACACGTGCTGAAGAGTGTGGGTGTGCGGATGTGGGTCAGTGCTTTCCTCATGATGATACCCACACCCACACACCTACTTCGTGATATTATTGTTATCTGTTTATGTCGTTGTTATATGATTGCATTAGTAGATGCTCATGCTGGTTTATATTTATATATTTATACTATGGCTACAGCGATTATTCTTATTATTTTATCATTATTATCATTATTATTATTATGATTACTATATGATTTATGATATTGACGCTTTGTTATTGATGATAACAGAATTTACCACTCAGAAAAACTGGTCGAAAATGCTAAATTTGATTATTATATTAGTTCATCAGATACATATGGTATTTACGTTTATTTTCATTTATCTACTGCATTTTACAAAATATGTAGTTTTTTGTTTTCTTCAGATAGTTGGCGTAACGGTTCCTTTGCATTGTATCTGCCGATCGGCCGATGTTACTATGGTCTACTTCCATGTTGTCCAATCGATTTGTTCCAGCACGTGCTCTTCTTATATGTGCTTCTGATCGATTAGGTGTAGCCTCGAGTCATTGGTGTGATGTTTCAAAGTTCATAGACTTAGACGAAAAATTTGAACGAGATTTTCTGGGCGATTCAACAAAACGAGAAGTTCTTTCTTCTCGATCAGCTTTTTGTCGTGCGTTTGATGATTTATGGGGTTCTGCCATTAATGATTTTGATCGATGTGGTGAACTCAATGGATCGATTAGTAATATCTTTATTTTTGATAATATAAATGAACTTTGATAAGAAAAATCTACATAGGTTAGATCTAATATACCATATCTTGCGTGCATTTTGATCCATTTGAAACTGAATCGGATCCATTTCGGCAAATTTTCATTCAGTAGCTCTTCAGTACAACAGAAAACGAGCTCTTCTTTTTTTGGCTTAATTATTTTTCGCAACGCTTCAGTTAGATTCTCGTTTGGTTGGATTGACACATGTTCCATATTCAAATATTTTATATTTTGTTTTTCCAATTGTTTAATGAATTCTATTTTGTATTTGAATAGCTGAAGGCGTCGAAGATAACAAACTATTTGTTCTTTTAATGAAGCTTTGACTTTTCCGACCGATTTGTCATGTATTCCTCCTTCATTAAGCATTCTGTAATGAAATTTTAAATACAATTTATCAATTGGATTGATCCCAGTTAACAGATTTTTACTGATGATTTGAATATCTTCTCTATTTTCATGAAATAGTGAAGTGAGTTCTTTACCAAATGATTCTACTGTTTTTGAATTAATAAATGTTTGTAGCACCATTATTTTAACACATAAAGGGAGTAAATATTCTTTTATTGCCATAATATTCTCTTGATTCCAAGGTGCATAAATCGCTGCCTTATTTGCAGAATTTACACAAAACGATTGAATAGGACGAAGAAAATATTGTACCGGGCGATGATCATTGGCTAACTGTTTCGTTTGAATTATTCGTTTGCATAACTCAAATATCGTTTTGACTCCAGTTAGTTGCTGTATATTTGAAAATACTTTTTTGAAAATTAGTTGAGATATCAAGCTTTTTTTATCTTTCAATATATTGAAATCATTATTTCGTAATGTGTGAGTTATTAAATTTAATGCATCATTCGCCCTATTCTCTGTAGATAATTCTAATATAATAACCACTCGAACACCTGTTCTAATACCAGTAACAACGTGCGTTGGATGTTGATTCACTGTTGCTCTTCGTATTTTCGATTTAACTTTATGTATATCATCAATAATACATTGTTCTTTGGCTATGTAGCAATAATGAATTATTCGAGTGTTTTTATTTACACTAAATGCTGAATCTGATAATACATTTATTCCTTCTGTAGAAACAATATTTAATAGCAAACTCAGCCATAAGTCATAATCGGTACCAATTTCATCAAGAAGCTTTCCAGCTTGAAGTTGGTTACCATGGAGTACTTGGCAATATACGGTATCGGATTTTAAAGCTTTACTTATGGTGTCATTCCGAAATGGTCTTTGGCGGATGATAGAATCTTCTCTCGCATTGTAGAAATAACCAATATTAGCGTCTCGTTGTGCTGATAAATCACGTATAACTTGATTATCATTTAATAATCTTTCAAAAGGATGGTCAATATTGAAATTCGCTTTTCTTTTAAGAGGATTGTTCATGAAAATTTCACAAACGCTCAATAGAAACAGAGTATAAGTGAATTAAAATAATGAACTAAAAAAGTAACAAATTTTATGGATGTGATTCTTAGATCTGTCTGTACTAATATCATTTCAATTGTTTTTACATGAAAAATCATCAATTCCAATCAGATTTCTCAAACTTTGTCCTATTGTTATTTTTTACCAATCTTAACTCTTTTTTTACTTTGCTGAGTGAATAAACAAGCATGTCTTCTTAGTATATTTCAGATCCCGCACCATAGGGTAAGACACGTTAAAAAATTTTTGTTTTCGATATATCAAGTACAAATTGGTCTGTTGTCTCATTATCAACTCACATGTTCAAGTATATGCGTCCTTCTCTCGATTTTTATCAGTCTTAGTCAATACGCCATTGTTTATTCACTTTCAATTACTCTTTTTCACTTACATTTACATTCATTTTGTTGCAAACATAGTGAAAAATAATAATAAGAAAGGAATAAAAACAAGGCGTAACATATATAATATATATTCGAGAGCTCACACACACATTCTTTGGCATACAGCAACACACGATGATGCTTTATTTCTTTTGAAGAATGAATCAAAATGAGTAGAAGAGAACAAAATTCTGAACCATGTGGTATAATAAAGAAAAGAAAGAACAATTCATATAGATATGCGAAAAGCAGCACTCTCTATTGAAGGATATGTCGTTGACGAAGACATTGGCAATGTGGCGTTGTAACATTTCGCCCTACCACAAACTATTAAATATTTTTGCAAATTTTTAAGCTAAAATTTATAATTTTGATAATTATGATGAAATATACTATAACCAGTAGTACGTCGATCACAAACCTCATTCAAGCGAGCGTGATAAACATACTATGACATGAAAAACGATCAGCTATTTCAGACTACCACTTAATTAGTAACTTTCTGATATGTTGGTTTCAAGTTGTGTAACTTTTATTTTAGTGATCTTACATTTCCTTCACTCGACTCAACATTATTTAATCGATAATAACTAGAGTTTTTAACATAGACCTTCAATACTATGAATAAAGAATGACAGAAGAAATGTTTGTCCTCGAAAAAATACTAGCACACGTTTATTGTTCTATTTTATGATGATAAATCAAGGGAAAGAAGAATCGATGTTAATTGAATTCAAACATATGAATCCAGATAAGATTCAGCAATACTACAGTAGTCTTACACTCAATTTAGGAGAGTTCAAGTTTTAACATCTGACATGGAAATTTTTTCATGATCGTGCCATTTTATTCTCCTATCTTTGCTTCTTACCTTGAGAAATAAATCAAAAGAAATATAGTATATTGCACTCCGTTGTAATTTTCGCTCGTACTGAGAAGTGACTTAAGAAAAAATGCGAAAGTAAAAAAGCCGCGTATGCATCATAATATTTGCTTGCTCAAGTAGAAGAAAAATGTTTTAATAAATACAAAACACGTGCTTTCAAGGCTTTTGAAAGGAAAGCAAAAGAAAATGAAGTGAATAAAAAAAAAGTAGTCCATTTCTATTGGCATAAACTCAATAAAGGTGAACAATTTATTATTCATAGATAAAAGAAATTCAATCATAAGTTTATTAGATTTAAGAAATAGTGAGTGAGAAGTTCGCTGTATTTTTCTTCTGTGCTGTGATTACATTGTGCAAGAAGTTAGTTTCTTAAAAATTCTAGATCTCCATGAGAAAATGTAGAACTAAAATGTTTAAAAACAAAATATTACACTCACCCGTCCAAAGTGACACTTCACACCAACAGTCTCATGTCATTCTATTTCTACTAAAAGCTTCATTGCAACCACACAACTGCTATTTTCTTTCCGACTACTCTGATCGACAGTATTCTATCGTTAGACTGTTCAGAAGATACTACTGTTGCCAATCATGATTTAAAATAAGATAATGAAAAAAAAGAATGTAACAATTCATTTGTTTTTAATTTTCTGTTCTCGTCAAAGAAGTCTATTTATGATTCAATACATCTTACTAATTTTTTAATGTCTTTTTTATTGTGTTTCATTAGTTTATTGTCATCAATAATGTTTTGATTGCTTATTGAAAAAAAAAACTTTAAGTTATAATATTCTACTGATTTATTTAGATCCTTTTATCGCTTCAGGATCATGCTGATTTCATAGTGTAACATCGAAAGATATGGTTTTATTAATCATTACCGTAAACAGACTGTGTTATAATATATGTTGTTGAAGTTGTTTCCAACGTTTTCTTGTGTACTTCTTCTTTCTCTTTTACATGCAATGAATGCAAATGCTGTAGTGTTCTCCAGACACGAAAAAAAAGGAAAGGTAAAAAATATGAGAGAAAGTCAAAGAAATGTATTTTGCATAGAAAGTTTTCTTCTCGTCATTTTAGTAGCAAAAACAGCAGTGACTCATGTAGAAGAAAGCAAGAAAAAGAAAAAAAGAAAAATGCTTATCATTATAACAAGAGAACTTTCATAAATAGAAACCTTCAGTATTGTTATTTAAGATAAATTCTCTCTTTGGGTGTAGCTGGATATGCGTGTGAGTGTGGGGTGTAGGTGTAGGTGTGGGTGATTGAAGAAGAATAACTCACGTCCACAGCCATACTACAGCCACATCCCACACCCACCCATACCCGCACCCACACCCTTCGAAATTTGTAAACATACTTTTACAGAATATTGAAGGAATGAATTCAAATTTAAATGCACTTCGATCGCATTATGTGACAAGGAAGGCTCATCTGATATACCTGGCTGAGGCGTGGATTGAAGACAATACTACGAAATAACGATTCATAATTGATAGTTATAATCTCATGCATAGAACATGATCAGATTCATTCACCTCAAATTATTCACTATATTCAAAGAAATTTGCAGAGGTTGGCGTTTATATCCACAATGATATCAATGTAAGCGAGATTAAATTTTCAGTTTCGTTGAATATTGAACACATCGCTGTTGAATTAGAGCGAGAAAAAATGATCGTCATTACATGTTACCGATCACCAAACCCACCCTATTTCATAGACACAAATATTCTCTCTGGGGGTGCCGTACGTCAGACACCGATCAAAATATGAAAAATGTATTTGTTTGAAAATGCAATATTTTGGAGGTTTTCATATGAAAAGTGCGCCGTTCCAAGCTGATTTTTTTATTAAACAAAGCTCCTGAAAGTAAAGATGTCGGCCAAAAAGAGGGGTGGACGGACAAATCAATATCAGCACATATATTGCTAACCTGTATCTGGCCATACATATATGTTCTGTAGATATCATCGAATCTAGTCTAAAACGAAAATCTGACATCAGTTTCGTGTTCAGTGTCAAAAACTGGATCGGTTAAGATATCTCAAAATGTTTCAATAGGTCATCTAAGTACTTTTTGCGGACAAAAGAGAGCTAAAATCATAACTATGACGAACCCAGACAGCATTTTGAATATGAAACAACAACGGTATGTTCAATAAAAACAAGAATAACATAAGATTGTAGAGTTCAAGAAGACCTACAAAATGCACCAATTAATGCTTGCTCTTCATCAAGGTTACGAGTCGCTAAGGACGATCTTATCTTCTAGCGTCGATGACCTTACTCATCTATCGAAGCCAAGACAGTCTATTTCAACAATAATTCATTCAATTTGCATGAAGTTTACACCCCTGGACACAGTTCCACGTGGACTATCTGCTGGAATATCCGGAATGTTGATATCATGTATTCGAGGAGTTTGGGGTCCCGGAGGATTCCTCAAGGCTCCAGAAACTCCATAATCAAATATCCTGTGTTAGACGACAAGGTGAATTATCACCATCTTTCGAATGTGCTTTTAGAGGCACCACAAGTGCCATTTTGAAATAGCATTGTTCACCGAAAAGAAACAAGTATTGACACGGAATAAGAAACATGGTCTTAAAGTGGAAAGAAATGATCGAAATATAGATCGCATATCTCGATGCTGAGCGGCACGAAGTCGATAAGAGTATGAAATTAAAACAAAATAAAAATAACTAACGAAAAATGCAATGAAATAGAAAACGATCGATAGCAACATAGTAACAATTAAAAAAGAAATAAGAGTGCCTAGAAAAATAAAAAATATAGAAAATATTGGAATGAAAATACATTGAACGTGCATCATTCAATCTGTGAATGATTCATGCAATACAAAAGACACGGCGTATCCTTGTCAAAGGATGATAAGAAGAGGATCCACAGGATTTGGTTCGAGCTTTGGAAATGAATAAAATATTTTAGAAAAAGTTACGGATGTCGCGCTCAAAACGTTGAACATCGAGAGAGTGGGTGTGGGTGTGGGTGTGGGTGTGGGTGTCTGGTCTCTAACATCCACACTCATACCCTCAATATGGTCAAACCTATAATGGCATATAAAATAATCGTTGACAAATGTTATTCGCAAAAAATATACAAAATTTATTAAGAGACGTTCAATTCAAATTAAATAATCTAAAGCACTTTTTGATGTATTTCTAAATTCATTAGTTGATGTACACTCACTACGTCGAAGAAAATATGAAATTCTTATTTCTAAATGAGAATAGTGCAAATGTAAATTTATTACAGATAAAACGTGTTTAAAACAAAGTGACATCAAATTGTTCTGTTTATGAATAACTTCAATTTTTTGGAATATATTCAGTAAATGGCGCTTCTATTTGTAAATGTCCATCTTGTGTTAAATGAGATTGCAAATGATCAGTTTGTGTACCCGGTGGAAGGGTAATCGATTTGTAAAAATAAGTTTTTCCTAAATATGAACTATCCTTTGATATGTGTTCACCTTGTATAATCAGATCATTATTTTTGACTGATACTTTAATGTGTTCAGGATGATAATTTTTCATAGGTACAGACATTTGTAATTTTTTTTTATGTTCTTCTGCATCAACAACTTTTGGTGTAAAAGCTGATGTATGAAAATGATGATAATTGAATGATTGATCACGATATTGACCATATGGAAGTAAATGATGACTATTACTTGCTTGTGATGATGACTGAAGATAACGTTGTTCATGTTCACGATTACGTAGTGGTATATCTACAATCAACAGATTGTTTAATGTTACATAAGATACCAAGTGATCTGCATCTAAATATTTAAATTAGAAATATAAATTAGAAATTTTGAACAATTTTACATATCTTACCAGCATGTTCATAAACCGTTTCAGGTAAATCATATATTTTTTGTTCTTTGGTATTCTCACTATGATTATGATGATGTTTCTTTTTCGCTTCTATAATTAAAAGACGACCTTCAATTGTTGTTTTGATAGTCTCTGGATTAAAATCCGAAATATCCAGTTTTACACGAAATTTTTCTCCATATTTTGGTAACTGTAATGCTGGTGCAATCTTATCCTTGTGTTCTTTTTGGCGTTTTGGTTGATTAATCCAACGAAATGATATTGGTGCACTTAAATTAATATCTGTCCATGGATCAAACAATTCAAAATCATTTCCAAAAGTATCAGAATCAAGTTTTTTATCACTTGAACGACGACGATAGCGATTCACTGGTAATGATGACATTGTCATTTAACAAAGTCTAGAATACAGATAGAACCTAGTTGAATTGAAAACTCTTTGGTTATTTCAACTTGGAATTCACACTATTTTAGACACGATAAAATCTTTCTAATATCACTCAATGAAACTGTTCAGAGCTAATTTAGAACAACAGTTATCTTGTTCTTATCTCCATCAAACGTCATAATCTAGGGCTGAAAATTTTACCATCGTCTCCTTAGTTCAGTTCCAACAACCCTATAAATTTCAAATGATTTGAATCTGTTCAATGCGAAAAAAAGTTTTTGAGATGACTTAAATTCCAAATCGCATATCATTTTTAAAAAACATGTTTCTCACACTTTCAAAGCTACGAAATTCTGTTGTGCAAAATCTACTCAAAGTTGTTGGTTTCTCATGATAATTCGGAATTAATAACCTCCACTTCGTATCTTCCATACCCAAAGCCAGGGATTGGTTCTAGTGATCCATGTAAAAAAAAACTCCCCAGGATGATCATAGCAAGAGCTGATAAGAAAAAGTCTTACAACTGGTACATTATATTTTTCATTATTCGATTAAAAAGTATGCCCATACTTAAGACGATGAAGTTTGTCAGCTAGAGAATCTAAGAATAGAAACATTTCATGTCGCTTCGATTTGCTGAAACGTATTTATTTTGAAACTAAAAACTTTGATTATATAGAAATAAAAAATGAAAAAGACATTCCGCTAACTGAGATAGAATTGATGGGGAATGAGTTTCAATATTGCAATGCTCGATTTTTTAATTGATCTTTTTCAATTGAGCTTGATGGAAAAAAACGAGAATGTAATATTGTCGATCAGATACTTTTATTTGTTTAAACAAATCTTATTTACTTCATCAGTAGTATTGAGTTTAGTGAAAAAAGAAGAGTCAGTTAGGATGTGACAAATTAATGCACTAAGAAAAATGTTCGTTGTCAAGGAATGGTGGTTTTCATTGTTACATACGCTTTTTAACATTTCTACTGCTGCAGCGTTCGAATCATTTAGACACTTTTAATAGTTGTGCGTGCTTCAAGCAATCAACCATGTAAACAAACAGAACAGAGAAAAGAAAGTTGCTTTTTCTCTCGTCAGTTCTCGATTGCTCTGATTAAGAATGGTAGAAAAGAAAAAAAAATCTTTTCAATCCTATTTCAAGAAGAAGCACGTGTCTGTGTAAGTGTCCTTGCTATTTTTATACAAACTACGACTACGCCATATCCATACTCACACTCACACCATACAATGGCAGAATATCTTCATTCAATGTTTTTCTTTTTATCTTTTGAAAGAGATCTATCTTTTGTCTTGCATAAACATTGATTTGATCGGCTTCAGAATAAAGCAAACATCACGCAATGGAACAATAACAAGGATCTATTTTTTAAGAAACGTTTAGATCTTCACAGTATGTCTTGTAGATGAGCATTGTTGTCTAAGATATATTTCACTGAATCAGCAGCAATGTGTGAAGCTATATAGAGGTTTTGTTTGCTGACAGTTGCTACAGAGTATACGTGAGTAAATCATCTGATTATTTTGTCGAGTGTTCCCACATGTTTTTTTTTCTTTTTAATCAATAAAAACTACACTTGTGGACATCGAAACGGCTCATGACGTAGCAGCGATTACATTTCTTGTAGTGAAGTATTGTATTTTGCCGTTATTAGAGGCTAAAATATGCGTATCTTTTTTTTATTCATTTTAGGCATTCGTGCCAAACACATATATAAAATCATGAAATTAAAACACATAGACAAACGCGTCCCATATATTTCCATATATTGACACAGCAGTATGGCCAAATAGATTGCACTCAGATAATGCAACGCATACTCTTTTTTTTCTCTTTCTTTTATTTTCTTTTACCGATTCCATTACTACCATATGCTGCCAACTATCATCGATCGACAATCCACGAGCATATGCAGAGATAGTGATAAGACTGCTATTTATGTAATTCAAAATTAACTCGCGCCTTAAAAATTTCTTGTCGTTATCAGTCGTTTGTAAGTAATTTTGCTCGAAGTTCATTTCTTCCATTTTCTTTGGTGATGCTGGCTCGATATGAGAAAAAACAAACTTGTCAAGAGGTGAGGATGTGCATTTTGTGATTGTAGATGTGATTTCATTCATCAAAATGGCAAACCTTAAAATAATGACATTCAATATTGCTGCTTGCCGTGAACCATCTCGTGGAATCATTGATGTAGCACGTACAATCGAACGACAACGGCCAGACTTTGTCGCACTCCAAGAAGTCGATAGGTTCACACATCGATCAGGTGCTGAAATCGATCAATCATCCGAACTTGCTCGTCATGCACACTTTTCTCATATGATGTTCATTCCTTCGATGAACTTTCAAGGAGGACAGTATGGAAATGCCATTTTATCAACACATTACTTCGATACTGTTATTCAGGCACATCTTGATGGACGAGACCAAGGTGAACCACGATCGATGGGAATAGTCTCTTTCAAGATAAGCAACGACCAAGAACTTTTCTTCGGTGTCATACATCTCGAACATGAAATTATAAGTCTTCGAGAAATGCAGGTGAAGGACGCGATTGAACTTTATCGACGAACCGGGCTTGAAAACCAGCCATTCATTTTAGCTGGTGATTTTAATGACGAGCCACATAGCCGAACAATTCAATTGCTACTGACAGAAGGAGGTTTGCAATTACCAAGTGACCAGTGCCCAAAGACATTTCCGGCTAATAATCCTACGATGACGATCGACTATATCTTTATGAATCAGAAAGCGATCGAAATGTTTGAATTGAAGAGTTATCGTACATCAGACGTGGACAAATCATCAGATCATCTTCCATTAATTATGGAACTCAAAAGAAAATAATCATCATTCAGACAAAGCCTTCTCGTGTCGATATTATTTTTTAACGTATAATTTACTTCTTTTTTGTTTGAGGACTAGTCGTGCAATTTACACAATTGTTTTACTAATAAACACGCGAGAGTTAGTGAAGGGAAGCCTCTTATTCATCCTCTCGAGTAGGAAGAGTTAAAGACAAAATAAGCAATTATTCTATCTAATTGCAAACATTTTTCCAACATAGTTTTGTTCATATTGACGATTAAAAGCACAGATTAGAAAAACCCATTTCAGCTCGTATAATAACATGGATTTGTTTTACATATTGTAGATTAAAAGAACTCCTCTGGTATATGTTTGCCAATACTATATGTTTCTAACAAACCTTCGTCCTAACATAGCGACGGTCACAAATTTAGTTTTTAAATCAGATTGAAACTGGTCGAGAGTGTGGATGTTGGTAGGGATGTCAGCGTTCCGTTTCAAGGAACGGAAACGCATCTCAAAATTGTTTTTTCGAGCTTTATTTCAATATGGCGAGGGTTGTAAACATGTGTGTGTAGTTTTGAAGTCAAAATAATCAATATATAAAGGCTCTACACCAGATTGAACCAGTCACACATAATCAATTGATGAATAACGTCGAAAAACAAAACGTATAATGTAAATAATCTACCATTCTTACCTTGTATTATGTCTTACCAAATCGATATCAAGACCTTTTCGATTTGCAAAAAAGTTATTTTAATTATATCACTTAATTCTATTAATGATACATTTTCATTTGTTCATCGAAGTGATTCTTCTTGAAATAAATTATCTCTCGGATACAGCTCCGCCCTTCCCAACCGTGATCGTTTCGTGACAGCACTGAAGAACCACCATAATCATCTTGATCTTCTTCTTGCTGCCTACAAAACTCCTGAGCATTAACGATACAATAAAAACATTGTATCATTCAAACTTGTTGAGAGAAGAGACATTTTCAAGTTGATGAAGTGAAGACGAGAGTGATTGACACATTCAAGTTTAAAGTGATTTTTCTGACTTCATTCTCTTTCAGAAATCTAAAGACATTCGAGTAGACAAAAATTCTCGTCGATCAGCGAGCTAAACTTAAAAGATTGAATATATCAGGTCTATTATATTCCTAATAGTGTCAAATTTTTTTTCTTGAGATACAATCAAACTCCTTCATTGATCGATTCACCATGTATGAGTATTCTATTACTAATACAAGACAGAGTTGAACGACGAATTTCTTGAGTTTGTCTTTCATGTTCGAAATCGTTTCACTTATGTGATCAATCGGATTTCCTCTATAATGTGATCGGTTATTCATTGTGTAGAGAGCTTTACAATTTTAGTCTGTGATAATTAATACGAAAACATTGATTTCTTTCTCTCAAAAAGTAAAAATCGAATTCGATCGATTGATATCAGACAAAGCAAAACTTATAACAATCTATATTGTGGAATATTCTTGTCTATAACGACGTCTGAAGAGTGCTCATTCATTATAAAATTTATAATTTACACTGAGCAGAATAATACAAATGAACAAGAAATAAGTCATTAACATCCACATGCACCACCCGTACTACAAGCACCAGTATTACAACAGGCTGCCGATGAACTGGCTATCGTCGCCGACATTGCTGCTGATTGAGCTGCTGAATTGGCCGCCATTATTGACGCCATCGCTGTGGATTGATTTGTCATAGTTGACGAGTGATACGTACGCTTCTTTGACCTTTTTGTTTCCGATGGAATATAAACTAAATAATTCATTAAATAAATATTTCATTAATTAATTGCTCTCAGATAATGAAAAATACTTGCCAGATTTATTGTGCTTCTTACTGCTGCTATTGCCCATTTGTCGATAATATACGTTAGAAATTTACAATTAATATATCGACGTTAAAGGTCTCTGAGTATTTATTACGTTCAAAGTTTTTTTTTGCAATGAGTAATATTGATGTGTCGCCCACAAAACGAGCGTCATGATCGAAATTGCGTCGATAAAAAGAGAAAATGACAAAATGAATCAGAAAAATGTCATGTATGACGTGCATGATCAAGAAAAGAAAAAATGTGACTCGTTGACAGAAAGAAGGAGAACAGAAAGTAAAAGCTGACTAAGGACGCCGCCGGATAAGTCAACAAATCTGGCACCTCCTCCCCCCCCCCCACAAGACAGTGTTCTAATTAGTTTAAAAAGAAAGCCCGAAAATTTTTACGTAGTTCTATGTATTTTTTCCTGTAATTTCTTTTTGCTAAATTGATTTCTGAAGAGACACTCGGTCTGAGAGGTATTTTCATTTTATATGCATTTTCCCATCATGATAAATTTATAATATTGACTATTAGAATTCCTCATCGGTTGATTGTTTTCTTAAGTGTCATATACCAAAAGATGCAGCAAATTTTGCTCTACAAGATGATTATAAATGATCTATATTTAATGCAGACAGAGGATGAAAATCAGTTAGATTAGTGCACAAAAACGAGTAACTTTGTAAATACCTTTTTGCTTCAAAACTTCGATCGAAACCCCATGAAAATAGTATCAAAGTGTTAATTTTAACATGTTCTTTTGAATGACATACGATTCAATAGGGTTACCCCGAAAAAGTCCTAATGGATCGATTCTGCTTCTTATGCGCCCCCGTCCTTTTACAAAAGTTGCCATACTCTTCTTTAACATCTTTTGCAAAGTTAACATCATGAAATCAGACCATGTTGCATAGATATGTTTATTTTTGTCGCTATCCCACCGATTCGATTAGTATGTTCAGTGAAATTCTCGAATTCGGCATCGATTGACATTAGGGGTGGCACTTTATCTTTACTTTAACAAGTAAAGTAAAGTTACTCAACTTTACTTTACCCGGTAAAGTAAAGTAATTGAACTTTACTTTACCAGTAAAGTAAAGTACTTTACCACTTTATTTGCAAAAAGTAAAGTTGAGAAAGTATGTTTTTTTTATCTATCTGTGAAAAATATTTTTGTCGAGTTTTACTTTACCCAGTAAAGTAAAGTGACCCAACTTTACTTTACCGGATAAAGTAAAGTATAGAACTTTACTTTACTTTACTTTTTCAAAGTAAAATAAAGATAAAGTGCCACCCCTAATTGACATCAATTTTAATCTCGATGTCATCTTGATAGAGTTATGATTTTTACTTGATAATTATGATTCATTCATTTCGGCTGAATTCACCACGTCTAATAGTTTCCAATTTTTTGATAAAACATGACTCGCAAATGAAAGCTAGACAAAATAGTTAGAAATTTGAATCTCTCCACCACAGACAATGAGACAGAGAAGTCGATATGTTACAGAAGATTTTCGGATCATATTCTAAGGCAATCATCTATGGATATCTCTAATAGAGAGATGTGTTTAATATTGTGGATAGATAGAAAGAATTTCTAGAAAATAACATATTTTGTGTGAGAAGTAAGAAGGAACGTTCATTTCCAATTAGCAAACAATTTATCTGAACAAATCTCAATTGTGTACGCATGGTGATATGTCGATTCGATAAGACTTGCCGTCCATTATTTAGGGTTCCACCAGGTTGCTCTTCATGTGGCTCACTTTTCTGGCGTAAGCACATCTATACACACTATCAAGTCAAGGTGTGATGCTTTATCCTGTCATCTATTTTATCTACATTCTCACGGGAAATTATCTTGGCCATTATTGTTACCAATCTACTCATCGGTAAGCGAATGTTATATTATGATTATTAATCCTCAATGTTCTCATACATTCAGGTTTGGCCGTCTATGATATACCTACATTGAAGATATTAGATAATTTATAACGTCATTGAAAGCTTTATCATTTGTTCTTGGACTATGATCTTTTTATCAACGGGTCAAATCTGTTGTGCGCAAGATATTCCATTGCTATCGTTATCAATTGCACACGACAGATTATATTGAAAAGAGTTGCCGTTCACAAGACAAGTCTCCTCTATTTTTTATTGATGGACAACATCAAAGAGTGGATCATCCAAGATAAAGTTCAATCGGCTATCGAATTACAAAATGAGTGGACAAAGAAAACTAAACTAAGCAAAAATCTAGACTAAGAATGATGGAATTTTGTTACTGTTTGAATGATATTTATTTATAAAAAATCGATACAACCTGTCGAAAGTGTGATAGTTGCATTAAATTTATAGGTACGTGATGAATTTAATTAGAAATAAACTGCAGATTAGGGCATGAGTAAGAGTACGTTTTGATCTTGCTTCAAAGTTGTATCATATGATAAATAGTGGGTTGCTGTAACTTCGTGATGATCTCATCTTTTCTCACTCATAACATTTAACTCAAATGTGTAAATAGAAATTTCTTGCTGCTTCGACGAACGAACAACTATCTATATCGCTATCAGTTTTATAAGATAATGAACACAGGTGAAGCAAGCAGTATTTCACTTCGTCTTCCACGTGCCATTAGATAGTAGGAAAAAACCGTGTGTATTTATAAGCCAACCTCTTTTCTATGGACGAGAGGGAGAGACCAGAAGCCCGTAGAGTAGTCATCGGAGATCGAGCCAGTCGTCAGGTCGGATAACTAATCTTTTAGCTTGTCAGAAACCTCAGGTAATGTCGCGCCATTCATCGGAAAAATGGTGAAGTTTAAAAGTAGCATACACTATCTGCTCATATTTTTTCCGCCTTTCATCCTCATATGCTAACCAGGGTTCTATGATAGAACAGCCTTAACAAGTGTTGATATAACATTCAGACAAGAAAGAACGTTAGACACATTTCATGGCTATTTGGTATTTTTGAGACAAAATTCATTCTCAGTCAGTTAAACATCTGACGTCAAATGTAATAAACATCCAGCTATCTTATCACGCACATGCGATTTATCTTTCTTTTTTTCTTTTTTCTTTTATTTCGTTTTTGTTAGATTTACTTCATTACAAGCATTCCAGGTGACAAGGTGCATATCAACATATCAATATTTTCACTAAGAACTGCAATAATTATAAAGAATATTAAGATCATTGTGTACAACGATGGTTGTCAGTAGTCCATTGTTTGATATTAATCAATTAAATATCGAGCAGCAGAAAAAATTTGATACCGTTTACAATGAATTAAAATCAAAACATACATCTTATCTTCAATATAAATTTAATTTACCTTTAAAGACTCAATTTGATAGTGAACAAGAAGAAAATGAATGGCGCTATGAATTGCACAGATTTCTTCGTGCTAGAAAATGGAATGTAACACATACGATCAAATCTCTTGTGGAAATGATACAATGGCGAATAGACAATAACGTTGATTCGATTCTTGAACATGCACCCATGTCATCTCGAATGGAACTTCTTGGAAAAGTTGTTCCGAATGCTCAACACGGCTATACAAAAGCTCATCGACCATTGTATATTGAGAAATCGGGTCTAATTCACGTGAATAAAATATTGAAAATGTTTACATCAGAGGATCTAGTCCAATGTCATATTTATTGGCTTGAATACTATTGTCAATTAGCAAGAGAACGTAGTCGACAATTAGGAAAACATGTGGAAACTTTTGCTATGATTACGGATTTACACGGTTGTAAATTGAACTTAAGAAAAGTACTTCCTCTATTTAAACAATCTCTTTATATCGATGAAAACTATTATCCTGAACGTCTAGGACAAATGTTGATTATAAATCCACCAGCAATTTTTCCTACTCTTTGGAATTTAGTGAAACATTGGTTTGATCCTGTAACGAAAACAAAAATAATTGTCATTAAAAAAGGTCCTGGAACATCAACGTTATTATTACAACATATTGATTCTGATCAATTGCCACGTGAATATGGTGGAACCTGTAATTCATGTTCAACTGCTCCGAATTGTATTCCTGTGTATGACTGGGGCAAAGACACTGCCGATGATAAACAGGAAGAACAAGAAGAACAGGAAGGACTGGAAGGACAAGAAGAACAAAAAGGATTGGAAGGACAAGAAGAACAGGAAGAACATAAAGAACAAAATGAGTAAAGAAAAACTGTGTGGGACAGGATTGTGTTCTTTTGCGACTTGTCGTTTATTTCAAAAAAAAATATAGTTATTCCTAAAAAGGTTTTAGCGTAATATCTACCGAATTAAAATGTGAAACACGATGAAGTGCCTTTAATCGTAAACAGAGACATGATCACATCTATCATAGTCCGTTATGAAATGAAAAGAGAGCGTATCCGCTTGTCTATCACAATCTGCGATGTCGATAGTATATAAAATTCTCTACAAAGCTTTAATTTCTCAATTCTTCAGACCCTTTAAGGTTGAAGGTAAAAGATAAAAATCATGAAGGGTGTGGGTGTAGGTGTGAGTGAAGGCGAAATACAGACCCACACCCTAAGAAGATTTTTCATTTTTTAATTTGATATAAAATTTATTGTTGATGTTATTTGAAATTATAGCATTACCTCTATGGAAACACACTTTTATCCACACTGTACAATGTTGTGAATACTCGATGAGTGTACCATTATTTTATGCACCTTGGATTTCTAATGTCTAAGGTATCACCAAAGACCTCTACAACAAATCTGAAGTGATCTGATCAGAAAATTCACAGCCAAGTATTATGAATATTAAAAATGATCTATGGCTATTTTATTTTAACGACAAATCTTATGAATGTTTCATGCATTCAGCGACAGGCGCAAGTACAAAAACAATATTGGAAACCGAACCCATAAGAGTACGATTATCATGGAAACAAACGATTCATTGTTGAAATGTTTGTATACGACCAACACAATGCATGAATATGAACGCTATCATTAAAATCATACATTATACAAACACACTTCAACATTTTGTCTCAATGATACCACTAAAAACCATTATTATACGTTTACTATTCATTCATACAATTCGAATCGAGGATCCAGACAAGTAATTTTTTATGTAAAAATTTTTTCGAAAACTTCTTGAGCTTGATGATATCAACCATATTATTAATACTATTTTGGTATTTTACTATTAATATCAAAATATTTGAAAATTAAAGCTCATAAACAAGTCAATGAGATACAAACCGACTTTAATAAATTGAAGACAGAATATATCGACGAAACATGATGCAGGTGTGGACGTGAGCGTAGATAGTTATTTTAAATGCACCTGCATTCAATGATCTAACAACGACGATACAGACATCCTCACACGCCAACATCCATACATTCACATATCTACATCTACCCAAATCCTGGCTCCTTGGCTAGAGAACTTACTTGAAAACAAAACTGAACAAACTAAAAATGAGAATGTTGATGAGAAGCATTCGAAGGACAAATTAGAATGTAATTTGTTATTGCTTTAGCAATTTGATTTTCTTTGTTTGAGCTTAATGTGATAATTGCTAAATAATCAAGTATAGATACCTTTCAAGGTCAATTTTGATAAGGTTTTTGTTTAGAAGAAGTACTATCAAGCTACTTTGTTTATTATAAGATTATAAAATTTTAAAATACTAAGGGATAAGTAAGATAAAGAAGGGTTAAAATATTGTTAAACTTCTTGTATGAACACTACTAGTTAGTTATTTCAAAGTTAAAAGCTTAAAAGTTTTCATCGACCATAACTGTACCAATTTATTCTCGTTTTAAATCGTTGTGTTCGCCAAGATAGACAGCCATCATAAACTTCAAATATTCAGCATAACTCACTTTTCCATCTCCACTTTTATCCATTTGGTTTAGAGAATGCTCAACTATTGAATCCAATGCTCTTACATTTGCTTTTTTCAAACATTCTTTGATTTCATCCCTGCTTATATAATCATTGTGGTTTTGATCGAATTCTCGAAATGAACGATTGATCTCCAACATTTCTTCTTGACTTAGTTCTCGTCCGGCACTCATTGTAATACAGCTAATTTGTGAAAACGGAGAAAAAAATGAGTTCGACACTATAACTACGGACGTGATACTTACTCACTTGAATTGAATTGAATGGTGGTAGAATGATGTGCTTGTTTCTCTTCTTTGCAAGGCTACGACGTTCTGTTTGCTTTATTCAACGGGAGAAAAAGCTGGTTGCAATTAAAACAACATTTAGCAATCATCGACAATAACAGCTGTCACAATACCGATACACATAAGCTATTCAATAGTATATTGGTATTGAATAGCAATACCCATTCACTATTCAATGGTATCCGTATTGAATAGAAATATTCATTTTGGTATTGAATAGTATTGACACTGAATGATATGGATATTGAATAGATCTATGATCCCTCTTGCACTTAAGTTGAGATCAGATGGGAACAGTTAAAAAGAGTCTTATGACAAAAATCGAACCGTTTGAACAGTTCTCTGATAAGAACTGGTTGGGTATGGGTGTGGGTGTGAGTGTAACTATGAATGTGTGAGGGGAGGTGGGAGGGTTACAGAATTTTTCCCAAGCAGAATTCAGAATTTAAAAATTCAATCGGTAAACAATGGATTCATTCCCTAAGATATATTCCCATTAGCAAATAAATTACTAATCGCTACACTTTGAATTCTGTTATCACTAACAGAACATAAACTTTCAACAGGCACACTACAATGGTATATCTCCAGGAGAAAAATAAAATTCTGATGAAAAATTTAATAATAGCAGCAGAATTTAAAACAGAATTCTGACAATTGCAGAATCCCTACCAAAAAGAATTCAGATTTCTGTGGACTTATATTTTTTTTAAAGACAACATATTCCATACTGGTGTGTTTAAATTCTGCTAAGCATTCTGTAGAATTCTGTGTTATCAAACACAACGTATTCCTTTCTACTCTGTTTAAATTCTGCATACAATCATGTAGAATTATGTGTCACCCAAGACAATGCATTTCGTTCACGTCTGTTCCAATTCTGCTTAGAATTTTGTAGAATTCTGCAGAATTCTGTATTAACAGAGATGACATCTTCCGTTCTAGTCTGTTTAAATTCTACTTAGAATTCTGTGTAATCAAAAAGAACGTTCTTTCCTCCAGGGAATATACAATTCTAGTATTCATATTGCAAGTTTATATTCTGTTACTCGTACCCGAATTCTCTTATACATTCTCCCAATATTTTTTAATTCTTCATTACAATTTTTCTAATACGTATACTACAATGCTATATATACTCCCGAAAAGCAAAAGTTAGCCACCTTATTTTGAATATATCGTTACTATAATAGCATATTTCTAAAATAATAATACCGTATTCGGAAAGCGCGTAAAATTCTCTATTACTCCTGTATATTTGTATTTTGGTTTTCACTTTTGAATGATCAACATAAATTGAATATAATGAAGACACACTGATGTCCAGATTCCCACAGACATGATTTTGTCATTGTAATCAAATTAAGTTTTTTAGATTTTGCATCACCGTAGAATGTTTGTTTTGAAAGAGTAATTATATATTCTGATAGCACTTGAAATTCTCTATCTTTCTATATATTTGTTTACTCTCTTACATTTATCTATTATAAAAATAATATAAGAACAATGAAGCCATTGCAATTGACAATTTCGAAAAAATCCACAATTTTTTTCGCTATTTTTTTGGAATTTTCTCTGTCCAATTTAGGGTTGATCAACGAGAATGTTTAAATATTACTCAATTTATTATTTAACACACAGTGGCGTAGTCAAGGGAGGGGCAAATGGGCAATTGCCCATTTCATTTGGAGATTTGCTCATTGTAATTTTTATGCGTCAGTTTTTGCCCATTGAAATTTCACTTTTTCAGAATTGTTTATTTATTTTTGAATTAGATAATAACTCATTTTCTTTTCTTCCGTCTGAATCACACATGCATTTTTGCTTGTTCTTTCTGTGAAGCATGAAGAAAAGACTCGCTTCTGGTATTTTCACCAGAGTTTCTAGATGAAAAACTTAAAAATCAGAAATTCTTGTTTTTAAAATCAGAAAAAAATTAGAATTTTTTTCTGAAATTGGAAACTAATCATAAAGAGTAACTTTTTGCAAACCAAGGACTATCATGTTGACATACTTGCACAAAAGGCTTCACGGTTTTTTTTGTTTATCGGCTCATACTTTGTTTTTAAAAGCATTACATAGTAAAGAAAAACAACACAACCATTATATAGCTTAGAGTAAAAGATCATATACTGTAATCTTAGGAGATTGATCACAGTTGGATCAAATGAAGACTCTCACTATCAAACTAACTAATTAAAAATATGCGCTGCCAGTAGCGTACACACATTGAGAAGAAGTTTCCAGTTTGTTACATACCCTCACTACTAAATTTCGTCAACGCTTAGTTTTCTTTTTTTTTCGTCATGGTTGGATGGGACACAACCATTTACATAAGAAAAAACAATATCATGCATATCAAAAAGCAAATTCAACAAAGCCTAAGATAATTTTTTTTTAATTATAAGGGTAATAAACAAAAAATTTTAATTGCTGTCAAATTGCTTTTGAATGTGAGTAATATTGCTTCTTTCTACGTCAATAGTCGTGTTCCATCCAACCATGATGGAGAAAAAAACTAAAGGTTGATGAAATTTCGTACTGTGCTTACATGACACATTGTAAATATTTTAAAATTTAAACAATTCTGTCTGTGTACACTATTGGCAGCTCATGTTTTAAACTAGTTGTTCCGTATGTGAGAGCATTCATTTGATGCGACTATGATGAATCTCCGTAATTTGCTGCAGCATGGTCTTCAGTTGTTAGTTAATACAAAAAAAAAAAGTCAGGAAAAGACACCTAGTGTCGGATTCTTTTACAAAAACCAAAACTCTGTTTACGAAAAATATGCACAAAATAATCATCTATATAAATAATGCAGATCAAAAAATCTTACGAAAAATAATCAAAGTTATAGAACATAACTTCTATATTATTTTTCAAGTTTTTCTTCGTTCAAAATTCTTTCAATAAATGTTTTTGAGCTAAACTATGTTTACAAAATCGTTCAAAAAAAAATTGGCATTCACTATTCAGTTCAGCAACGCAACAATTTACTGATATATTAAAGCA